GATTGCCCTGTCATCAAGCATGGCTTTCGACGATGGCAAATGGGCATGCAGACTTCTGGCAACCACTACACCAAGTTGCTCAACACTGCCTCAACAATGCCATTCATCGCTCTACTCCCCCCTCCCTTGGCCTGTTCTCCGCATGGAGACGCAGGTCTGGTCAACTTGACAATCCATCAAGACACAAAGGATTTCCAGGGTAACTCTATCCTTATCGCATCGGTGATGGATACTGACGAACGTGAGCTGGGGGATTGACTTGTACTAGACATGGCACTGTTCGCCTTAACCGAACATTCAACGTTTGTATCCAGAAGGACCCGACTCGATATACTTCGTACAAGTCTGCTGGAAGACAGGCCTGGCCTTGCCACCCGCCGTATCTGACCGCAATACTCAAGGAGCTCTAAAATCTCCGCCAGCCCGGCTGGTTGCGTGCGATTAGCGCCCGTCAGCTGCCAATATGCCCAGCCTTGGTTGGCTTTTTCCGGACGTGGAGAAGGGGAGGGGGGCCCTTTGGCCAATATGCACACAATTCCAATTGCTGTCTCAAAACGCTTGTTTACCGTCGACTACACAGGTTTCATAAACTGGATTCATGTTCAGTACAGTCACGAATATTCTAGGACAGAGCAGAAACGCATCGTTAGCAGGCCACGTATGCGAATCCCCATGCCTATTGCAACTGGGCGCGACGTGCAGTTCTTCCTCCGGCTGCGGCGCACTGGGAAACTCTTTGCTTCAGCAGCCAAATTACGACGCTTTTCTGGCTGCATAGAACGGCTCCAACGCATCGGGATTGTCCACCCCCACGATGAGTGACTGGGCCGGGGTACGCTGCCTAAATTGGACGCAAATGAGATCTGTCATATCTAACCTGTCTAGCTCTTCGCCTTGCGGCCATTAAGATTCATGGCTCGACCATTCAGCATGGTGGTGTTTCTTCAAGGTACAACGGGACACTGGACTATCTGGGCCGTGTGGCCGGTCGAACCAGTGACTGGTCTGCCCAGCCAGAATGAACAAGGGTGTCATTTCGTTCCGACGACCACGTACGATTGATTGTCTCTGGTTGAGATATGTATGCGAGGAACAGCAGTGCACCCCCCGATTCAGGCTTATTTATGCCTTGGTCGAGGACTCTGCCGTCGTTGCTTTTTCGCTCATCTTCCGTCTCTCAGGTCGTACTTTGAAAAAAAAAAACGGTATAAATGAAATAAAAAGCCAAGTCATCAGGACATCCGACCGGTGTGAGTTTTGCGGGCCGGTTTCGTCTTGTGTGGTTCTGCCCGAGAAAGGTGGCGGCAATGAGAGTGTTGCGACTCCCGTTGCCGTGTAAGTCGGCCTCCAGTTTCTGAATATGAGGGAGTGATCGCCCAAATTCCTGGCGCTTGGCGCGATCCTCGATCAGGCCCGAACAGGGGAGTGTCGGTGCATTTACCAGGGTGTATGCCGGCAACCTTTGGAAGCAACAGTCACCATGTCTGACCGTTAGTTGTGAGTACTTCCAGCCCTCGTGCAAGGGTATCTCCATCGGCGTCTCTGGTTTCTATCCTGTATCAATTCAATCATCTACCTCTGCCGGAGTTCTGCCTCATCCATTTACACAGCCTGGAACATCCCAGACATCAAGGTATGTGTTAACTGCGCTTTCCCTTTGTCAGATCTTCATCCCCCGGAGGCCTACCTATCACCTTTGATGCTCAATTATTTCTACTTCTACTGAGGGAGAATCATGGGCAACCGGGACTAAGAAAAGTAGTCATCAGCCCTCCGCACCCCCCCCAAGAATACGGGGAAGGCTGGCTTTGGTTAGATCTCCCGAATCACGCACGGAGAGTAGTTACCAAAGTGCCGCATCGACTAGTTCAGATGAGTCCCTCGGCGCTAAGGTACGCGTGGTTGCAATGTTCCCCGTGTGTTTTGTAACCTGTGCTAACTCGGTACTGACACGCTCTCTTGCTCCAGGGCCCATATCCACGCTTGTCGGATGCCCGTGGTGTAGCTAGTTGCGGACACCCAGTCTATTCGGTGCCTCTTCCACGGCACATAAACTTTCCATTATCAATCCTCGGGTATGGAGGCTTCGGAGACATGTCTTTTCCATATAATGACTGGACCTCCGTGGCCGAAAGCCAACGCGGCTTCCCCAACCATGCCCATAGCGCCACTAACCGACAACCTCAGCAGTCTTCTGGACTACAAAGTGAGAAGACGGGTTCAAATAGCCATCCTTTTTCACAGCCTTATGGGCCACCTCCGACAGCCTCAAGGAGCATAGGTGGTGATGCCGAATTTACGTCCTTGCAAAGCTCTGCAGCACCATTCCTCTCTGGTCATCCGTCCTCAGTAAACATAGACAGTCGGTTACACACTACAAGCGCACTCACTACAACAGATTTATTCCCGCCGCCATATCACAAAAATTTCCACCGATCAGTTCACTCGTCTGAACTACCTTTTGATACAAACAAGCCGCAGCACCCAGTCGTGATCCCCACGAAGGAACCACCAAGCTGTCAGAAGAAAACTCAGGCGCAGTTGTCGGGCCAGTCGCTTAGGGGTCTTGGGGGCAGTGGCACATCCAACATTCCCAATCTTCTAGGCCCGGACAGGGTAGACGTCGTAAACGGCATCATGTTCAGGCTTAGCATGCGACAACAACCACAAGCCGCAAGGGCTTGTGGATTCGGCGACAGGGACAGGCGAGTCATTGATCCGCCACCTATTGTCCAGCTATATGTCGACGGCCCTTCACTGTCTAAAGATGAAGCAAAATCGTATCTACGATATGAGAGCTACGTTATGAATTGCTCGATATGTGATGAGTCGGGAACACAGGACGCATCCTTCATGCCTGAGGAATATCAGCATCAAAGACGACTGATGGGATCACTTGTCGGAACCCCTTTTGTAGGAATGGACGATCATGGTGAGGAGGGCTGCTTCTTCTGTTTTTCAGATCTATCATGTCGAACTCCCGGGGCATTCCGTCTAAAATTTACGCTTATTATGATAGACCCGGCCCGCGCCGGAGTGATTCGACACTTCCCCATACTCACCGAAATCGTGAGTGATGTGTTCCATGTATACAGTGCCAAGGAGTTTCCAGGCATGTTACCGAGTAGCGGCTTAGCCAAACGGCTGAAAGAGCAAGGTTGCATCATTTCCATCAAGAAGGGCAACGATCGAACCAAGAACGCTAGAGGACAAGATGAATTATCAGATGAAGACGGAGCAGGAGAAGGTTCTCAGGGACAACGGAAGCGGCGTACTGTTCGGGATTAGATGAAGACGGAGTGGACCATAAAGGCTTGGAAAGCTATCAGGGGCATAGTAAGAAATGCTCCGTTCCTTTTTTCTTTTTTGGTTTTGCCACAGTCGAATTCGACATCCCTTACCAATGGGGACAACGTGGTAGAGCGTATGAAAGCTCCTTTGTACAGGAATTACGATGCCGACTGAATTTACGGGGAGGAAGACTTGGGGTGGCGTGAATTGCAATTTGTTTGGATTTAAGGAACATCAGCCTGCGGCTATGGTGTGTCATACTCTATTCCACGATTTTCGTGGCGGCCATTACTCCTTAGCGAAGCATCATTATACCCAATTAATTAACGCATATGGCTTGCTTGAGACTCTTTCCTCCAATATTTGTCATAGCTTTGTTTCTTCTCCATTTTCTCGGGAATTAGTCGATCCGAATCACAAGTACTACGTGTCCACATCACTTTAACATCGATGAAGCTATGCTGGAAACGAAATCTTCATACTGATCTCGGGTTATCAATAAGAAGCAAGCTGCGTTTATACAATTTTTTTCATGCGGATATTATTGACTTGAAAGGCGCAGCTATCAGGTAGTGAAAAGTAGCGCCTCGCCACAGAAGGTAGACAGCAGTTAGGTCAGTACTCGTAATGGGAATAGTCAGTAGAGACGCCATGTGTATTTTGCAAAAAACTCTTCAATGGCGGCTTCGTGCCGAGGCGGGACCGGCGCTGTGATTACTTCCTCAGACTTGTACTGTGCTCTCGTTTGCGTCCGGATTACGTTTAGTGTCAGCATTCATTACTGCATGACAGCCGCATCAGTTGCTCATAATGTCAACAGAGTCGAAGCTGAAAATACATGAGCAGTGAACCTGGATTTTTGCCTAAGGGTTCATTCCCTCTGTCAAGAAATATGTCGCAAATGCCGACATGCGAGGAGAGTTGGCAGGTTCGAATAGAGAGCTCCCGGAGATGCTGGGATATGGCGCGAAACCAAGGGGAATCATTGTCCTCAGCTAGATACATCTTGGCCGACATTCTACCGAATCTTAAGTAGATTGTTTTTTGGACGCTTCAGACGACTCGTTTTGGTGTAATCACTAGAGGAGGAAGGGTTTGTTACGTCGGACTCTTCAACCAGCGGCTACACTTTGTAAGAATGAGGAGAGCGATATGTGGGATAAGAGTGTGAATGGGCCAGGAAAATGTATATGTCGTTCAAATGGGGCCTGTTTTAGCGGAGGAGATTGAATAGTTGTTGTTTAGTTTATGTTGCTCAATCTTTTCCTCAGGCACCCTACCTAGCTCATGCTTTATGGATGAACTCAACTGTATTGTACGCCTTGTTTCTTAGTCTTCTCAGCAGCCACATCGAGGCTTCAGCTTTGATTGTGAGCATGACATTAGCCATCTTCGGGCCGAAACTTGTTGGGTTGATGCCCTCCGTCCAAAGACGGAAAGGCTGATGATGCGCATTAGAGGTATGCCTGGTGTTCCACTCTATATCGTACCACTATGGGACCAAGTTTACCACGCGAGAAGTAGCAGATGTCAGCTCATAAGACGCTTACTCTTGTCTTTTCCTCCTCCTCTTGGCCAAACGCACTTCTGCGACAACTGTTGTCCGGGTCGAGGGGGGAAGCTCGTCGGGACATGATGGAGGCGGCGTGCCTTCAACTTCAATCGTGAGGTGATACAGAACCACAGGGCTGTCTCCGGTCTTTTCCTTGACCGATCATTATTTCGTAAGATTCGCGCTTATTTCAAATATCGATACCGTGGGCAGCCATGCCGAGGGCAAACGTCTTATTACGGCAACGACTGTCCTACCCTGGAGAGGTGAGATGTGAGGTGTGAAGAGAATACTAGCTCATTGTTCCGCAAATAGCTCCTTGCCAGGATCATTTGATTGACGGAATTTTCTTTGACCCAACCACAAATATGAATTATTGCCTGCAGATCAAGGAGCAATGGGAACATGGTGCTGAAACGAGCACAGTCCGATTCTTTGTAGTGAAGACGGTTTGGAGATCAACATCGAGGATGCAACATTACATACGTACCATGCACTACTTCGTACCGCCTTCTAAAATAAACCTATTGTACACGCATACATAAAAATAAAATTATGTAGAGGGGAGCGACAATGCTCCACGGCCTCCTTTCATGGGGAAGGAGGAGAGGATGATTACAATCTTCCACGACACACTCATCCAGAGTCTGGTGTTTGTTGGAGCGCCCAACAGGAAAAATCAGCAGGAGCAGCGTCACAAACATGGAACATGATGCTGGATTATTGTATGTCTGGTGGCTGACCCATGCTGTGCAGTTACAGCCCGAACTGTGAGTATGGTTGGTTGACAGGGCCGCTAGATGCGCTGAGGCGCAACAAGAAACGCGATCCCATGCGAAACAACACTGCAGCTGTCCTTTGCCGATGACCAAGTGTGAGATGGGTGAGACGCGAAGTAGGACACCCGGTATGGTTGCTTCCTTGATGCAAGTCATCTTATCCATGGGCATATTTCTGTTTCCCCTGACGTTGGGTCGGCATCGAGCCCAAGGGTGAAGGCATCGTGCAACCGACATGCCGCATCCCAGTTGAGTATACACAACCGCGGCACCGAAACCCGAGATTGAAGTCCCATGCTCAGGTCGTGTGACATGTATCATGAAACCAACAGGTAGATATTAGAAGAAAAACAAAGTCGAGCTGTCAGAATCTTTCGAGACCAGCGCAACACTCACCAACGGCGACGTTCAAGTCCATCGACACTGCGAACGCCGCTGCCGTTGTGGCGCTTGGCTCAGCTTCCACGTTGGCTGGCTGTCGAATCTCGTGTCTCCAAGAAGACGGCCAATCGGGTGGCGTTGACCCTCTCCTGCGCTAGCGTGTTTCAGCATGCTTAGGCGGCGGACCTAATCTTGGCAGGAGCCAACATCGTGGTCAGCGGTTACCCAAACTCTGCTTGGATGAATCTGCCAGGCAAGGAGAGAGAGGGGCTGAGGGATCTTTCGCCACCTCCTGGGAGCCCCGGCGAGAACAGTTTGGTTCTTGAATGTTTGCCTGATGATTCCCACATGGATTCGGCGTTCGTCTCATTTCGGACGTTTTTTTTTTTCGGGCGTTTATCTCGCGGCATACGGAATACGGAGTACTCCGTACATAATCATTGAAATAAAAAACGCCACCTGCATCCCCGTCAAATTCGGCGTACCGACTACCGTACCGACCACGCGCGTACGGAGTATCCCACCTACCTAATACATACTCGGTTGAGTGGATAATAACTGGTACCGTTGACGTGTACGTAACCAGTCCTTTGGGCGCCTCTATCATCGGATGTTTAAAAAAAGCTAAACTGACCTTGAAAAGTTAACCAGGGCTCCGTTCAGAGTCCAGGCCGGTCACAAGTTACAACGGTCCCCCCACTGCATTGTTTGTTTGCTCTGCTGGCAGCCTTCCCGGGCAAATCCGTTCGCTACCTACATCACAACGTCTCTGTGCGGGGTTAATTAAATCACTTATGCTTTGTTTATCATGCGTGGGTGGGCGAATCTGCGATTGACTCGACCTGCGTCCAGCAGGCTGTTGACATGGGAATCACTACCAAGGCATGGGATGGCACAGTGATGATATCCATGCTACAGAGTAGTATTCCGTAATATGGAGAAGCGCATTGCCTGCTTGACGCATCTTCATCGTCAACACTCACGTTATCATTGCACAACGTCACCAAACCTGGCCCCGGCGCCAGGTGGCCAAGTTGGATGGTCACAGCCAGCCCCCGATTTATCCAATCGTTGGCGGTGACGGTTCTGTACGGAGTACAGCTTGTCCCAAGCGCATGCAGGTACGGACATGGTCATGCAGACTACGAGTACCCTGTCGACGCAGGTGTTGGCGTCAAAAAAAAAAAACGAGAACGAAGACTGCTTGGCCCTTGAAGGTCGAGGGTCTTGACGAGAAGCCCTGGATCCAAAAGAGGCGCGGTCCTGACCAAGATGATCAGTTTATTGGCAGCACCGAAACTCCACCCACACGGGGCAGACAATGGACGCCCGGGGTTCAGTCCATTGTGTTCACCGCCGACGCCTTGCAGATGGACGCTTTTCTGGTGTTGGCTGTGAGAGTTGTTGGCATAAAGTCTGGTCCTTCTTTCCAGGGCCATTCACTACCGTTCTACCTGCCATTTCTCACTTGACACTAAAACTTGGTGGACTCTGCCACATCTCGATTCAACCCTCTTTCACTTTATCTATAGATTACCCTCCTGATTTTTGCTCTCTCTTCATCGTTTGCTTCAGTCTTTGTACGAGCTGCCGAGCACGTCCTCTCCTTATTCACAGCCCAAACAGCTTAGTTCTGTTTGTTTCATTCCTTTCTACGCTGCGAGTTCAGGTCACTCGCGCACTTGATATCTCAGTTCACGCTCTTTCTGGTGCTCTGGCAACACCGTAAAGCAAACAACGCTCGCACACATCCCTTGACGCTGCAATCCCAGACAACTAGACTTGCCCTTTTGAATTTGTGTCCCTTTCAATATATTATCTGTCACGACTACACCGACAACATCATCATGAAGCTTCACGCAATAGCCGCAGTAGCGGCTCTTGTCGGTTCCGGGTTTTCGGCCAAGAACGAACGAACATTTGCTGTTCTTCGCTTTACGAACAAGCAGCTCACCAAAGGTCGAATGGACCCTATTGTCAGCCCAGGGCAAGTCTCTACTCATGTCCACTCCATCTTCGGTGGCAGCAACTTCGGCCTCGGTTCGACGGGCAAGGATCTTATGGACTCCAAATGCACTACTGCCATGATCAAGGGTGACAACAGTAACTACTGGGTCCCGTCGCTTTATTTCAAAGATCCAAAGACTGGCAAGCTTGAAGATGTCGAACTGTTTTACGCCAACGTTTATTACTTGTATGCATTTGTGCTTCCTCCGTTCCACCGCAGGCGACACCAATTAACTGTCTACTGATTCTAGCTTCGAGCCGACCAATGATAATATAACGGCGTTCCCAGTTGGACTGTCGATTATGAGCGGAGATCAGACGATTCGAACACCGCCCAAAGACGGAGCAACTTCTAACCTCGATCCATCCAAAGGCACCGTTAACCCTATCAAATGGACCTGTCCTCGTTCCAACTTTGACTCTCCTTCATGGCCTGCTGGCTCTAACGGTCTTGCGGCGGGTATCCAGGACCCCAACAATAAGGGAGAGGGTGTTGGTTTTCCTGACGTGAACTGTGATGGGTATGCGTCACCTTTGAGAGCAGATGTTCACTTCCCCTCTTGCTACAACCCTGCTGCGGGCTTGACCAATTACAAAGAAAACATGGCCTTCCCCACTGATGATGGAAAGGGGAAACAAGACTGCCCCAAGGGATGGATTCACGTTCCTCACCTCTTCTTCGAAGTTTACTGGAACACTCCGCTTTTCAAAGACCGCTGGGAACAAGGAAAGGGTCAGCAGCCTTTTGTTCTTTCTAACGGAGATGCTACGGGCTACAGCAACCATGCAGACTTCATGGCTGCCTGGGATGAAGAGCTCCTTCAACGCATTATTAACACTTGTAATGCGGGCAGCCAGGGCATGGACAAGTGCCCCGGTCTCAATGGCCTGAACAAGGATGACTGCACTATCAAATCGCAAGTTGATGAGATCGTTGACGGTGTTCTGGATGCTCTCCCCGGAGACAATCCTATTACTGGTTGGTCCTATGGTGGAAATGGAACCGAAGGAGGTGGTAATGAGCCCAAACCCTCGCAGTCTCAGTCTACTGGAGGAGATAACACTGCTAAGCCATCGAGCACCAACAAAGCTGGAGGCGACAATACCAGCACTGCCAAGCCAACCAACACTCAGCCTGCTCAGCCAACCAACTCTCAGCCTGCTCAGCCAACCAACTCTCAACCTACTCAGCAAACCAACTCTCAGCCTACTGGAGGAGACAATACCAGCAAGGTCTCCAGCGCCGCGCCCACATCAGACAACAAGCCAACCTCGACTAAGAATCCTGATAACGCAACCACCAAGCCGCAGCCTACCTCAGAGGCGGGCAGTTCTAAGCCTACGCTGCCGTCTCAACCATCTGCATGCACCCCCAAGGTTCACACTGTCTACGAGACGATTACTGTGACGGCACAATTGCCAGGAGCCACCGATCGCCCTGTTTCAAATTCAACCCGCACTGCCGGAGATTTCAAATATGCCGGTTGCTTCAAGGATTCTAGAGACCGTGTTCTCAAAGACGATGTCCGTCCCAACTTGGGCGCCATTAGCAACGCCAAGTGTGTGGCTCACTGCAAGGCCAAGGGCTATAATCTTGCTGGTACTGAATACGGGGGCCAGTGCTATTGTGGCAATGAACTTGTTAGATCTGAGAAGCTTGATGATTCAGCGTGCAACATCGCTTGTGAAGACGATATATCAGATACATGTGGAGGAGGTTGGGCACTCACCGTCTTCAGCAAGGATGGCGAGGCTAGCTTGAAGGATGCCAAAAGCCGGAGGCATGCTCACGAGCACCTTCAACGACACCGAAGCCCGCACTATTAGGTCTTTTCTTTTGAGAGTGTGATTGCCAGCTACTTCGATTCTGGCCACTGCCTCGGGCGTTTGCAGGATCAGTGGTGGTGGTACTTGTGGGGATATTTCATGGACATATTGTTTTGGAATTTTGGACAGCCGCCCGGACGTTGTTATTTTTTTTGGATGCTTCGATTCCCGTCACTGTATTTTGGGAACTTGTTTGGATTCTATTCTTCTTTCAATAAGCCTGCGTCGGCCTTTTTCTTGGCTGACGGCAGAGTTGGAGGGTTGGCCATCGGAGGCATTTTCTCCAGATTTGGCATACATCATCGGATATTTTGTCATTCAGGGACAGACTAGGTAGAAAAATTCAGGCGCACTCTGGCGCACTTTTTTTGGGCATTAAATCCGCCCTGATGTTCAAGTGATTGACCGCAAGGCTTTTGCGGCTGCTCTCTCAACACATCTGACCTAGACCTAGCTCGAATCAGGGCATATATAATGGTAGATATGAACTAATTCCTAGACTATGAGCATTGAAAACCACTTCAATGGTTACACGTTTATCATCCACACTCTGATATGTTAAGCATGTACCTAGTAGTTATGAAGTGTTGGAGGGTAATCGTGTAAGTCGGGAGAACTTCGGCTAATAAAATCTTCCTTCCTTCACGGCCCCAGGAGTCCAGGATAGACGCACTTGCCATCTCTGCGAAAACTTGATGCCGTCCGCAAAACCATGCATTGCCTTTCAGCTTACAATTAATTTTTTGTCATCAGTGGCGTTTCAAAAATGTCTCTGTATCATGAGGCCTCTGATATCTTGTCAACATCCTCGCAGGAGGGAGGGAGCTTAAAATCCCGTGTCTATCAAAGGAAGGGCATTAAATCCACGCCGAAGCAACTCTACGCCCTGGTGTTTGAGTCCTGTAAATGGAGCGCCATCCTGAAGGAAGTCATAGAAGGAGCTGATATACTCAAAATAGAGCGCAAGGTGAGTATGGCTCGTTGGATTTTGTTTTGTATCATTGAGCAGGAAAGATCGGCTAACCTGTAGGTACAGCTCACGTCGACTCTGGCATTGCTCTTGGTCCACGACTTGTTGCTTGCCAAGGGTGGTATTGCGCTGCCACAGAGCCATGGCCTTAGGTCAAGCGTTGAGAGGCACAAGGGCCGTCTCAGCTCTGAATTTACTCGGGCCAGGTTGCGACGCAAGGCGTCATCGCTAGAGCTATTGAAGGCTCAAGTTGACAAAGCTGCGGCCGGTGAAGAGGCTGCCCATCCGCGCTGGGTGCGCATTAATGCCATCAAGAGTACTCTTGAAGAGCAACTGGAGACTACTTTTAGAGGCTATGCAAGGGCTGGCACTATACAAGATGTGGTTGCGAAGGAAGGGAAGCATATACTCATCGACCCTCATGTCCCTAATCTAGTGGCGATCACCCCTGGTTGCGACTTGAGCAAAACGGAGGCGTACAACTCCGGCAAAATCATCCTACAAGACAAGGCGTCATGCTTTCCAGCTTACCTCCTAGACCCTAGGTCCGAAGATGGTGATGTGATAGATGCTTGCGCTGCGCCAGGCAACAAGACCACGCACCTCGCGGGCATCATTCGCAGCCATGAACCCGAATTTGAGTCACAGCCACAAACCATTTTTGCGTTTGAAAAGGACTCTAGAAGAGCAAAAACGTTGGAAAAGATGGTCAAAATTGCGGGATCAAATAAAATGACGCGCATTGCACTCGGACAAGATTTCTTGCAGGTCGACCCAGAGTCGGAGAGATTTAGGAACGTCGGTGCCTTGCTCCTGGATCCAAGTTGTTCTGGAAGTGGGATTGTTGGCAGAGATTCAATGCCAGAACTTCATCTACCTGACCCTCCGCAACAGAATCCGCGGCGCGAGTCCAAGTCGGAGCCGACCAATAAGCGTAAAAGGAAATATGAGGAAATTCGGAACTCTAACCAAACAGTCATCCGCGACGATGATGGAAACGAGATTGTCGTTGAATCGGAAAAGGATCTGGCTGCACGATTAAATGCATTGGCTGGGTTTCAACTGACTATTTTGCTACACGCATTCCGGTTCCCGTCTGCCAGGAAAGTGACTTATTCTACGTGCTCAATTCACTCTCAAGAGAACGAACACGTCGTCATGGCAGCATTGAACTCGGATGTTGCAAAAGAGCGAGGATGGCGCATCTTGAGGAGAAAGGACCAAGTCACAGGGATGAAGGATTGGCCAGTAAGGGGCAGCACCGAAGCGTGTAATGGAGATGAGGAAGTGGCCCAGGGGTGTATCCGATGCTATAAGGACGATGGCCACGGGATCATGGGCTTCTTTGTGGCGGGATTTGTTCGCGACCACGCCAACGCCAGCGAAGACGGAGACGGCGATGGCCCGTACATGCGAGATGAAAGTGGTGCCATAGTGCGAGACATGCTTGGGATGCCCGTGTTAAAGTCCACCGGTACTGCAGTTTCTCTTGTCGGCCGAGATGACAAGGCCGGCGACAATGTCAGCATGACCAACAGCAACGAAAGTGACGATGATGATGATGGAGGTACAAGTGCAAGTGATGACAGCGACGCGGAGGAGAGTGAATGGGAGGGCCTCGGAGATTAGACATGGAAACCGCGCATGTATGTTTGATGAGATACCCAAGTAGCTCAAATTGATGGCTTTTCTTTAGGTTTTTTATTTTATTCGACCTATGCAGATGCTCGTGCAAGCACTGCATCGGGTAGGCCCAATGAATTAACACCATGTGCCTGGTCGTACCCAAGCCAGAGAACCGTAACGTAATATGTATACTGCGTCATACAAGGGAGGAGTATATCTGTAGATGGCATCCCGGATTTGAGAGGGTAACATGTTAATTGTATAGTAGTATTGATACGAGATCGGAGCCGACGAGACAAGGCAGGTCAGATGGTCGACCGACGACGGCGTTTGCTGCTGCACTACGGAGTACTCCATAGAGAGAGTATGTAAGCCGCTTCTCGGCCGGATGTTGGCCACTGGTCAGGCTGTCGCTGGTGTTCGCCTAAGTAAACAACACAAGATTGAGTTGAGCGGGCGTGCGGACCAGACCCCTGCTGGGCTGCTGGGTCCAGGGCGGGCACGTCGGCGGTTGGCTTGCGGCCGCAGATGCGGGTGGCAGGAATGCGGCCGCTCGCGCGCCTTGGAGAGCAAGCAAAGGCCGAAAATGGCGCCGTTGCTGCGGATGTCCTTCCGTCGCCCAGTCGGGGGTTTTCGCAGCGTCGTACAATGTATGTACGTACAACCATACCTGCCAGGGCTCAGACAGCACGGGCTCTTGAAAAAGCCATGTCTGCGCGCCAGAGTTGAGAGCAATTGGCTGCTTTGCGTTGTGAGATGAACCAGATTTGAGGGGCCGTGGCCGTTCTTGCCCAGTGCTCCCAGGACTTGCCCCCTTCAGCAGACGCGAGGGAGCGGAGCCAATTGAACGCACCGCCATTTTGACCTGGCTGGGCCCAGTGGACCGAATCGGACAAGCCCCCAAGCCTCTCCACAATTGGCCATTTGGGATTTTGATGTCTCGATGTGTTGTGTACGGAGTACTTGACATGCAGTGCAGAAATGCCTGGGCTAGCCTGGCATGTAAAGTAAGTACGGAGTAATACGTGCTACTGCTTCGGCACTCCAATGTCCGTCCCATTGCAACGGCCTGTCGACATGGTACGACGCTGGCAGTGCTCAAGTCTTGCATGGCTCCATTGCCCAACTTCTGACTTTCTGACTTTCTTCTCTCCGATGCCCTCGACGACTTGGTGTCTGGCTCGGCTCGCAAACACGCTTGTTCTTTGCTTCGTGCCCAGATAGGTGCTTGGCGGACCATCCTGGCGACATTGTGGCATCATCAACATTCGACTGCCACAGCACAACTACCACCACAACAACCCAACATCGCCCTCGGGCCACGGCACCGTCATTTCCAACCGACATGTCCGTCTTTGAACCCACTGCAGTTGCTACTTGCTGAGATAGTGGAACTGACCCGGATTCTGAACGCCAGAATACTACTACCTAATTCTTACACAACAGTCAACAAGGCCCTGTTTTCCGCTAGGCAAGGCCCCGAGAAGACAGGGTGATATTCTATCCCACCTTTCCATCTGCCCAACCCGCTCTGCCTTGGGCCGTGAAACCAATCTCGGCCGATTCGGTTGAATCACTTGGCTGCTACCGAGTTCATGCCTGGAGTTCGGGTTGCAACCAACAAAGCAATTGTTGTAGCACCATCCGACGACACCCGCTTCCCCTCGCCCATCCAACGATAAGCCCCCCCCTCTCCTTCCCTATCTCTTCAGCCTTTTCTCTTTGGTGCTGTCCAATTTACGACTGTGAAGACTTGCCATCCTGGTCGCCATCTGCCGACCAAATCTCGAGACTCTCGGCGAGACATCACGAAGGGGTCTTGGCTGACCATCACCAACCTGGGCGGGTACGACGACTTGGGCGTAGTGTGCTCACTGTGATTCATTCTCAACCGACGCCCAAGGGGGCCCATCCCTTGTTCCTTACGGGTCTTGGCCTTGTACAAAAATCACCGCGCTCACGAAATCCTGAGATACACAAACGCCTGGGTTAACGCGTAGCCTCGCCAACATAGCCACAAGCTATGGCGGCAGATTCATCATCCTCGTCGTCAGCAACGGCCGCTGACCGGGATGTAGAAGCGCAGCAGGCACAAAGGCCACGAAAACATTCTCATTGGAGTGTTTTGGTCGACCAAGCTGGTGTTGATGACGCCGTTCTCAACCACAAGTATCCTGGCCAGGGTACACATGAGTCGCCGTATCTCGTTGAATTCTTGCCCGTCGACCCGAGAAATCCAATGACATTCTCTAGCCCCTTCAAGTGGACAGTCATGATCGTTGCAGCGGTATCGACTCTGGCGGTTTCGTTTACCAGCTCCGCATACTCGGGCAGCGTTCGCTCCATCAATCAAGAATTTGACGCCTCGACAGAGGTCACCATTCTAGGAGTGTCCATGTTCGTCCTCGGGTTTGCCATTGGGCCTCTGTTCTGGGCACCGTTTTCTGAGCTTTATGGCCGACAGAAGCTCTTTTTCCTGACGTACATGGCCCTGACAGCTTTCAATGCGGCTGCCGCTGGCGCACCAAACATGACAGCCCTCATTGTGTTGCGCTTCATGGCTGGCGCATGGGGATCTTCGCCGCTGACCAACTCTGGCGGCATCATTGCAGACCTGTTCACAGCCAAAGAACGAGGAATCGCCACCAGTATCTTTGCAATTGCCCCCTTTCTCGGTCCGGCCTTAGGTATGTTGTTGTTGCTGGCCTTTCCACTGCTTGCCACTGCTGGTGCAGAGCATTTTATTGCGGCGGGGACATCAACGTCACCAGAAGAAACACAGTCATGCCATGGAAAAAGGACTAATGTATTCATAGGCCCCATTGCTGGCGGATTTCTGGCCGAAGCCGAAGGCTGGAGATGGGTGGAGGGCCTCACAGCTATTTTTACAGGCACACTCTGGATTATCCAGTCACTCGTTGCCCCTGAGACTTACTCCCCAGTATTGTTGCGTAGGCGAGCGGAGGAGTTATCGAAACGGACTGGCAAAGTGTATATATCCAAGGTCGATGCGGCGATGCCTCGCAAAACTCTGTTTGGCCAAATCAAGGTCAACCTCTCGAGACCTTGGATCCTCTTGTTCAAGGAGCCTATTGTATTCCTCACCAGTATTTACATGGCCATCATTTACGGTACGCTGTACCTTTGCTTCGCCGCCTTCCCGATTGTCTTCCAGTCTCCTTATCCCCAAGGCTGGGGTTGGGAACCTGGGGTTGGAGGGCTTTCCTTTGTGGGTATTGCAATTGGCATGATTGCTTCGGCCACCGGCTCGATATTGGACAATGGACGATATGCGCGCATGGCTGCAAAACATGGCGGCGTCGCACCTCCGGAAGCGCGACTTCCCCCAGCCATAGCGGGGAGTGTCCTTCTCCCGGTTGGTCTTTTCTGGTTTTCATGGACCAACGGTACCAATGTTCACTGGGTTGTACCCATTATCGGGTCATCGATTTTTGCTGCCGGCCTTGTTCTCGTTTTCTTGTCACTTCTCAATTATCTGATTGATTCATGTAAGTCACTTGGGCTTGGGAGCAAAAGGAGATTGGTACAAAGGGATGCACGTGCTAACGCATAAACCAGATGTCATATACGCAGCCTCCGTTCTGGCCGCCAGTGCTGTGCTTCGATCACTGTTTGGGTGTATTTTCCCGCTGTTCACAGGAAAGATGTACGAGCATCTCGGTGTTCACTGGGCTAGTTCGATTCCGGCATTTTTAGCGCTTGCCTGCATGCCGTTCCCTTTCTTGTTTTACAAGTATGGCGAGAAGATTCGCCTCAAGTGCAAGTACTCTGCAGAGGCATCTCATATTCTTGAGAAAATACTGGCCAAGCAGCAACCGGCGCAGGAAGACGAAGGGATAACTGAGTGCGAAGAGGGAGGCAGAGAAAAGGGGAACCAAGATACCAAAACAGCGCCGACGACTGAAGTGAAGTAGCTGCCGCCTTTTCTTCTTTTGTTTATTATTTTCTTCTTCTTTTTGATACAGGTAGAGCAGCGTGCGAGGTTATACCCTACTGGATTGTGTGCATTTGTTGCATCATGAGCATAGACCGGAGTTATTGGCTTCAGCCCTTGGACAAAGACCGTGATAAGGCTGATCGGCGGTGCCTTGGCTGATGACTTGTCTGTTCATATTTGGTTCTGATTGTGACTAGGGCAGGCGCCTTGGAGATTCAGCATTCGGTCCTGACGACACGTGGGAGCATATAGCGGAGAAAGTACATGTTCATGCTTTAACGCATGGCTACCTGGCAGGTATCTAGCATAGCGTTGACGAGTAAATTTGTATAATAGCATTCTGTTCATGAGATCATGATGGGGTATTGGCCAGGCGTAAGTGTTGTATCAGGCTTGCTTAGAGATTTAGGATCTGGGTGAAGATGGAAGGAAAATAAAGCGTAATAGCGACTGGCGTGTGCACGCATAAAATAAATACATGTATGCATGGAGTAGGTACAACTCTTGACAAAAAGGCTCAAAGCGTGATCAACAAGGCTTGCTAATGCAGAGTCAAGCGGGCTGTGTGTCTAATACGTAGTGTGCCACTACGCAGTACCTATGTTCTGACTTTATGAACGTACTGGGAGGAGGTAGGCCGCTGTGCGGTACAACAATGGATGAATGATGAATGTTAGAGGGGGGGCGGAAAGCGGCACGCGGCGGCAAGCGGGTACAGACGGGCACGGGTAGTGACAGCACACGGTGTGGGCTCCCACTGTCCAAGTCCCGTTCACTAGCTGTCAAGTCGTCAAGTCCAGTCAGCCCTCCCCACTTGAATCCTTCCATGTCGCGCCTCCTAGGTACGCATCCAGCGCGTCGAGTAAATTTATTGTTATCGCCGCGACCACACCACCACCAGACTTCGTCCGCCAAACACCCTTCAGCCGCCTTGGCGTGCTCAACAACGAGGCTACGATGGCGACGGGGTCGCTTGAAAGCGCAAGCTCGTCTCCATTGTCGTTCTACACGGCGAACGATTCAGAGATTGAAGAATCTACCACTGCGAGCAGCCCCACACAGACCCTGCCTTGTCCATATCGTGATGCTCGCCAGCTCCCGCGGGAGTTGAAGGGTCATTGCCATATATTTTTAGAAGAGCAGCTTTGTACGTAAAGACCTAGCCTGGTGCTGCCTCCTCGTTCACTCCTCCCTTCCCGCCGGGATACATGCTAATATGAGTAGATACATGTGCGATTAATCTGCTGAATAGCACGCTCGGCTCTGGCACATCTAGAAGATCATCTTCTCCTAGAGCAGTCCCTGTACCGCCACCGAGCCATCTGGCATTGCTAAACACCCTCATAATCCACCCTATTCATACAACACGCGCCGAGAAGTCAGAATACCGAGACGTGGCCGCCCTGGCACTCGACTACCTTCGCAACCTGCTGACGGTCGTTGGCCCTGTCAACGCGGGGTTCCGCTCCGCCTTCCAGTTCCACGCATCACCACGATGGACGCGTCGATCAGGCTTCACTAGTCCCAACGCCGACAGCGACATGTCTGATGGAGACTCGGATCGCGATCACGACCGCCTACAGGGGCGCATGGCGAATGAAGGCAGTTTGTGGTCTCGGGGCCAAGATCTCTGGGCCACGGTCGGCTGGGCTTTTAACACGAGTATACTGTATCCGCAAAGGTGGCGTCACTGGCGAGTTTGGCTCGAATTCATGCTGGATGTTCTCGAAACAGACTGGGCCGAGAGACAGCGCCAGGACGAGGCGAACCATGAAGCGAATGGAGGGGAGGGCGCTGCCCCTCTTACTGCACGGAGTGAGTCGATGATGGCAATGTACATGGAGCAGAGCATGGACGGGCACGTGGCCTTGAAACGCATTATCAAGGCTCTTTTTGCGGACGGCGGGAAGTTGTCGTCGTCTACCTTCCCCGAGGTGTTTGAGAAGGAACCGCGTGGCCCAAAGAAGACGACCAGGAAGAGGAAGAGGGAACAAGTTCTTGACCTGGAGAATGGCAAGTTTGGAGACTATTTCGACGACGACTCCATTTCGTCGGGCGTCTCGGAACCACCCACCCCGCAGAAACCCCGAGATGGAAGGAATAGCGACACAATGGGGGTTCTGAGTCCCGGTTTGGTCGAGTCGATCAGCATTCGCCTGAGGTTCTTCAAGATGCTGTCCGCTGCTACGGCTGCTCTCCGCAAACAGCGCGAGCTCGGCAATCTATATGAGGACTATGTGCTCGCGATAAAGAAGCTCCCCCTTCCACTCTACTCGCTCTATGTCGCACAAAGAGAGAACCCGCTTCCGCCTGAAATCCACGTCCCTCTCATACAGGAGCTATTTCGCCTGCTCCTGCCACAAAGTGGCAAGAGTACGGCAAAAGTTGACCCCGAAGGCGACGCAAATGGCATACTTACCCTGCCCATGCTAGAATACTGCTACGTGCCCATGGCAGCAAACACTGTGAGCCTAGAAGACAACGCCAAACTTTCGCTGCTGGTTGAAAATGCGATCCAACTACTCTGGATATCCGATATGATTGAATACACGGACAGTTTCGGGGACGCATGCGGGAGAGGGATACGGGCGAGAGAAGCCAAGGCCAAGAAGAAACGTACGGGGAAGGCGCACGCTGAATCGAGCGATGTTTCTGCCAAGGATGTGCTGACCCGGTCGGGGGAGAGGATTCAAATGCTGGTTCAGGTGCTGAAGGAGACAACTCTTGACTTGTCTGATTGAAGACGTTGTTGCACGTGAGGGCAGGGGATATCCATCTGTGTGTGGCGGTTTCGATGGCATGTCTTATCAAACAATGTGGGGGGGCAATTTGCGTTTCGGGCATTCACGAGGCTCATGACTTTGTAAGAATGGGATAATATCCGGCGTTTTGGAAGGAACAGGGAATTGAAAATGCACATAGAGCGAGTGCTGGGAGGTTGGGACATTGGTATTGTCGATGACGGCATGTCTGGAGTTTTTTGTTCCTTTTTACACTGGTTTCTTGTCAGGCTGCCCTCGTAGGTTACTTACGATGCATGCAGATGTATGTGCTATGTATATTCATCACTCTACCCCGTTTGTTATACAGACTGTACACTATTCATACTCATACACAGGCTCCAGTATCAGCCAGGATATCAAAATACATGTCGTGATTCTCATGGTCAATCTCCTCATTTCTTCTTCGCGACGGCGGCGGCGGCTGGATTCCAGGCCGTCGGTTGCCAAGTTTCACCTGGGCCTTGCGGCCTCGCTTTCGCCCAAGGATCCTCTTTGCCTTCCACACGCCTTTGTCGCGCCGCGTCTTGTTCTGGGCTTTGTTCTTGCTCCCCCGGCGTTTCTTCTCCCTTGGCCCTCTGGGTCTCGGCCGGCCGTGGTATTTGTTCCTGCGGCACAGCAGGTCTGACGTCGTCCATGACGCGCGGCTTGGCCTCCCACCTGGCGTCGGCCTCGGCGGCCAGATGCTTCATCCTCTCTTGCCTCACGACGTCGCCGGCCTGTTCCTCTAGGGACGGCGGATCGCGCCGCGTGTGCCGCAGCCACTGGTGCCAGAGGGGCGACACCTTGACCTGCGAGTAGTGCGTGGATCGGGGGTAGTGCACGATGCGGCGCCAGCGGGAGTCGGACGGCGAGGTGCCGGGCGATGGTTTCGCGAGGCGGAATTCCCAGTATGTGTTGCCCTGTAGGTCGTAGCCTGCGGTTGCGGTTGGCCATGTTTTTAGCTGGGGGGGATCAAGACGGGTGGGCTTTCTCTTGTGCTTGGTGTTTTTTTGGCTCGCAGGATGGGGCTAACTCACCGATGAAGAAGCGCTTTCGCCAGGGCAGGCGCAGAGCTTTCCATTTATACCATGCTTGGGCAATGGGGCCTATCTGCTTAGGCGACATGGTGTAAGGATGGCGTGGGATACGCGAGGCCCTCAACTTACATGGTCAGGCTTGGGGTTGGTGGGAGGTTTTGGCTGACGTCGGAATTTGGGGTTGAGGCTGCGCCACATGCGAGGTGCAGCCACACGGCGGCCCGGACAAGGACGGAGCAGGAGCAGGAGCAGGAGTAGGAGCTGGAGCTGGAGCAGGATTAGCGTATTAGCGGCGGTTATGCGTAATTGTGAGACTAACTGTATCCGGATGGTGTTTTTGCTTCCGACGTTTGGCTCGTTGCTGGGCATACAACTTGTGACAGAGCCCGGCTGGGAATACGCAGAATGCCCTGGTGCCATTCAATGTCTGTTATGCAGCAAGATGCCCCCTTCATTGGCCCTGTAACCTAACAGCATTCCAACGGGGACTGACAGGCGCCGCAGTGGCCCCCCCTGGCATCCCTTGGTTGCGGGCCCCTCGGTGACGACACCAGACATTGCGCAGTACATGTAAGCGTAAGCGTACATAAGCGCATGTAAAGTATGAATGTACTTGCCCAAGTAACCATTGACGCCCTCCCTCCCCCAACTTTCTCCATCGTCAAAGACTCGACGCAACCCTCGATTTTCAAATTACACGAACTGACTCCCTTCCCTCGGCAAGGTTTTGAGCCATTCCACGACTCTCACACGTCCGCTCTCCCGCCCCAGACGAACCACTGCGCCGCGGATTCTTTTCGCGCACGCCAAAACACCATGGCGTCGGTCACGTCGCTGGACAAGGACCTGCGCAAGTTGCGCCTTGATAAATACACTCCCGAGGCCGCCAACGAGGCCCGTTCATGGATAGAGGAGGCCCTTGGCGAGAAGCTGCCATCCCAAGACTTGTTAGAGGGCTTGAAGGATGGCGTTGCCCTCTGCAAGTAGGAGCATACCCCGTGACCTTCTGGCCAAAGTGCTCCAGAGTTTCGGCTGCTGACATGTTATTCTCTTCAGGCTCGTCAACCTTGCAACTCCCCCGCCTGGTATCAAGTTCAAGAAGTCTCCCATGCCCTTCGTCCAGATGGAAAACATATCCCACTTCCTGCGCGCCTGCCAGTCCCCGCCGCTCAACCTGCAGCAGCACGACACCTTTCTCACCGTCGACCTCTACGAGCAAAAGGACCCTGCGCAGGTGCTTCAGTGTCTCGGCGCCTTCAGCAGAGCCGCGCACGACGCCGACCCGGGCCGTTTTCCGGACCCGATAGGTCCCAGAGCCAGGGCAGCCGGCGTCATCAGCCCCCAGATCTCCGGATATGCGTCACCGACGGGACTCCGCGGCCGCGGCACCTCCATCACCAGCAACTCGTCCTCGGCGTACAGCTCCAAGCCAGTGCTCCCCCGTCGGACCGCAGGCGGCGACACGACTCCCACGGGCAGGCGCAGCCCGACCAAGAGCCCGACCATGACAAACCCCCGGTCTCCCGGCCCTGTTAGCAGCTGGAGTAAGCGGGAACACGAGGGCTCCACGGCGCCAGCGTGGAATATCGCTCAGTACGGGTACATGGGCGGTGCTAGTCAGGGCAATCTGGGCATTTCGTTTGGCGGCATGCGTCAGATCACGAGTGCCGGCCCTCACGTGCCCAGCCTGGCCGACAAGGAGCGCAAGCGAAGGGAGGAGACCGAGAGACAGGAAGAGGAGGAGCGCCAGAGACGGGCGCAGCAGGAAGCCGAAGAGGAGGAGGCCCGACGAGAAGAGGAACGCAGGTGGGAGGCAGAGACGCAGAGGCTCCGCGAACAGGAGCGCCGCAAGGCTGCAGAGGAGAAGCGCAGATGGGAGGAACAGGAGCGGCAGTGGAGGCTGACAGAGGAGAAGCGCCGCAAGGAGGAGCAAGAGGCCGAAGCGAAACTGGAGGAAGAGCGAAAACGAGCCCGAGGCCGCGGCGACACCAGACTGCAGGGTCAGTTCCTGAGCCAGTACCAGGCCGAGCAGGCCGAGGCAGATCGCCGCAACAACCGCAGCCAGAAACTCGAGGAGGAGCTGGAACAGGCGCGCCAACGCGAAGCAGAGTACGAACGGGAGCGCCAAACACGAAGCACCAGCAGGCCTGCCGGCGAAATCGTCCCCAACAAGGCCAGCTCCAGGAGCCGGCACCGCGGCACCTCGCCCGCACCGTCCACGCCGTCTGCCGTGGGACCTCAGCGCTCACAAAACCGCTACGAATCATGGACAAAGGACGACGAGCGAGACTACCTGCAAAGCCAATGGTCCGAACACCAGAAGGGCTCTCGAGAATCATCCCTCGAGCCGCGGCGCCAAGAATCCGTCGACGTCGAAGTCCCCCCTCCCCTCACCACAACCCCCCGACCTCTCCCCGAGCCCAACGTCACTCCCAAACCCAAACCCAAACCGCAGTCTACTCAGTCCCCCAACCCCATCAGCAGCAGCAGCCGGCCGCTCCCCGACCCCAAGAAATACGCCGCGCCCGCCTCTGCATCGTCTCAAAACCGAACGGACCGCTTCCTCGCGACCAATACCCCTCCCCCGCAGACGAAACCACACCAGACGTATTCCCGTGAACTAGGCGCCACCGAGGAACGAGACGGCGAGGACCGGCGCCGCGTACAGAGCCAGGCGCAGACCAAGGCAGCTGGATGGGCGTCCAAGTCCCTCCTCGAGCGGGAGATGGAGATGGAGCGCCAGCGCCAGCAGGAGTGGGAGGAGGCGCAGAAGGAGACGGCCAAGGCTGTCCGTTCAGGAGGCGGCGTAGACGGCATCGGGGGCGGCATCGGTGGCAGATGGGATGTAGGACAATGGAGTGGCTACACGGGGGGTGATTCCCAGAACAGGGGTGCCCAGGGCATTGGTTCGGGGAGGAGGCAGATTGTTGGGCCGCGGCCATTGCCTGGCTCTGGGAGGTGATCTCTCTCTCGCTGTCCCTTGTTTTCCTAGCCCAAGGAAAGAAGAAACGCAGACGGGGGGGCAGCTGATGAACAATGACAAAGAGGTCAGACACGTCGACCGTAAAGCCGGCACGTGAATGGGTGCCTGTACACGTTTCTGTTGTAGGAGCCAAAAGATGGTGAGAGGCTTGTCTTGGTGGTTGATACCCTAGCTTCTTAATTCGAGCCTTGTACAATTCGCGTCGGCATTTTGGCCTCCAAAGCCCATGAGAAAGGGTTTCTATTCCAGTGACATGGATGCCTTCAGGCTTGGAAACATAGCATAAACTTCTCCGCGGTAAGGAACCTTCTTTTTTTTCTTCTTCCCTTTTTTTGGTGTGCGGTTATATGTTCATACTCAGGCGCCAAGGTTGGAGACTACAAAGCCGTTCCGAGTTATAATGTGTTTTACACGTGGTTAATTTCATGCCTTGGTCTATACCCCTTTTTACTGTTTGGTTTATACTTGCTTTTTGTCTGCTGTTGAACACGGCCAAAAAAAGAAATGGAATGAAACGAAACGAAAAGTGAGCTTGACCACTTGGGGAACGAAAAATGCATTCATCCTATTGCTCATTACGTGTGAAATGGTATAGATATAGGCAACAATATAATATATAATTTTATATCAGCCCAATCGGGCTTCATGTCAGCGGCTCGACTGCTTGGGCAAATAAGTATTCCGTGGCGGTGATGACTTTATTTCCGTTTGTCTGGTATCTGCTGACAGTAACGATATGGAAACGATAGACTAATGTGCTCCGTTTGGCAGATGAGTTGTTCAACCCAAGTTATTTGTGTTGTTGCAAGTTGCCCTGAAAGTAGTCGCTCACCGACTGTGGACAACCAGAAGCTCCTCGACATGGTAATGGGTTTCTCATCACCGGAATTTACCATTTTGTGATCAGAGTCCACCGATCAATTGAGCGGGGTTACAATATCATTGACAGCTTCCCCCGTCTCTCATCCATGGCCACGTGTGACCGTTAACAAAAAGGCAAGGACCACGGAAATTTCGCTCTGACAACACCCCGACAGCCGCTTGATAAGACTGCGCACAGTTGCTTAAACAGTGCCTGACGTGATCAAATACAGCTGCGTCGAAAAAAAAAAAAACAATGCTGAAATATGAGGGTATCTGCTTCCGCAATCAGCTAAATTAGGTGTATATGCCTTAGGTACCTAAGCTTGTGGTTCAACACCGTTTTGACTAGCTTCGTCTCGACAACGTTTGCACATGCACCAGCCGCCTAGACTGCCACGAGCCCATTCTCGTCGTTGTTGTACTGGCAGCGAAACATCGCAGTAATGGTTCAAAATTTCCTCGCCTTTCTTAATGCCGCCTGGTCGGTCTCCGACGACACGTTCTTTGCGAGCCCACAAGACCATGCGGCCACCCCAATCCCATGTTACATTGGGATCACAGTCGTGATTGGCAAGACACCAGTAAGGGTGAACAGCTGCCACGTCGGGTCTACCATCTCGAGGATTCTTGCGCGCCGATGCTGTCCCGCGAAATTTTGCGTATAGAGTGTTTAATATCCACAAGTCGTACTGCGGGAGAGATGTGTATATATCGACATCCATCTTCTCAAGGATATGAAGTGGCGTCTCAATATTATATTTGAAAGAGAATGGCAATGTCCACTCTGGAGGCGGCCCAGCATTGGGCGATATGTCGATGTCATTGGTGGCCGTTGGCACGAAATCGCCCCAGATGAATCGAACTTCCCGCACATCGAGAGGATGGACTTCCTGGTGTGAAGCCAGTGCCAACACTCGAGACAGTAAAAGAAGATACAAGGTCTCGTCTGCCTCGGAAGCTTCCGGGTCTTTGGCAATGGCATCGACATCCTTTTCGCATACCGCAGGGTGGTAGCGTTCCTGGGCCACATCGTGGCAGAATTGACTGCAGAAGACAGTGTCATAGCACTCGTCGCAGTTTACAGCCTCGTTATTACTGCCAAGAGGTGGAAGGTCGGAACTACAAGCGTCGCATACGGGGTCCTTTAACCGGTTGTTGGCAGTCAACAGGGAGTATTCACGCAGCACATCCTCCCCAGGCTCTATGTCTTCAACAGCAAAGACGCCGAGTTGTTTGCAAGTAGGAATAATGTCGTAATGGTCCGTGTTACTTGCCCCTTCCAACAAAACTGGTAAAGTGGCGACCTGCACTGCACATTTGGGCGCCATGGTCTTCAGATCTGCATTTAGCGCCTTCAACGAGTCTTCTGCGAAACGATCTGGCTCATGGTCATTCCACGGATAGACCTCCCGGCGAACCAGGCCATAGTCAGGCAAGTCGTTTGTATCAAAATCGTCGCGGCGTAGTCGACGTCGAGCTACAGTCGTGATGTGGGTTTGCGCATTGAGAAGTTCCTTGTTCTCAGGGGCAAGCTTCAAGCCGCGCTGACAGAAGTTGGAGGCACTCTTCAAGCAGCCGCAGAGGAGCAGACTCAGTGCCAGGATCTGGTAGGCTCGAATCGAAGCGAGGCCAGCAAGTCGACGGGCAGCCTCTTCGCCACCACCTAGGCTTTCGATGACAGCAGGGGACCACTCTTCGGGAAGGTCCCCGAAGGCCATAACCTCTGGAATTGGAACACCTGTGTGCATCAACAGGCTCTCCATGGCCTTTTCGTGGTATTCAAAACCCTCATTGCAGACCTCATCGGTTAACAACAAAGCTTTGTAGGCATCACCAGCAGCAAGGTCCGGGTAACCCAAGTCAGAGTGAACGACGGCGCGTTGCAGGTAGAGTATTAAGTCATAGGGCAAACCATTGAGGCCTTCTGTCAGTTGAAGTCGCCGATCAAGCAACTGCTCTCGGAGGTCAACGTCGTCCATGTTGTTCAATGCTATCCTTCGTTCGAGACATGAAATGTGCCGTTGGGCCCGCACAGTCAAGGCTCTTGGTGACCGGGGCAGCTGCTCAGAAGGGATGTTCCCCCAGAACTGTGATAGGTTTGTTTTTCAAGAGTTTTGCAACACACTCGGAGCTGTGTCGTAGGGTAGTTCCTTGGTCTTCGGGTTGGTTAGATATCGAAGGCAAGCTCCAGAGGATTGGTGGTGGTCTGTTTATAGCACAGCCATGCAGCACGAAGTCAAGGGCGTACTTGAGATATAGGCACAAGCGAGGGAGGGAAGGAGGAGTTGTAGGCTTGCCTTAATAGCAAAGCGCCTCGGGCTATGCGGCAAGGTCAGCATGACGGATCAAAACAGTTGAGAGGGGAACGGCACGATGACGGGTGTATCAGCTCCACGTACGAGGTTTATGAGCCGCAAATGTCTTGAAGCACTCCTGGTGAGTTATAGACTGCAAGTGTGAGATTACGGAGTATACGAGAGAAGGATCGAGAAGAAGGTGGGAAAGAATGAAAAGAAGGGATTGGCCCTGGGCAAGGTGGTTCAGTGGCACCAGATTCAGATTTGGGGCAAACTACCAATCTGGCTCCGGATGGACCACCAGATGGACCAGATGGACCCAGGGTCGGGGGCATCGAGCAACTTTGAAGTGTGTTGTATGTACATACCCCTCTGTTCAGGGTCCCAGGGAACAGGATAAATTCAGGGTCCATAAGACTTTTGTAATACCTTTTTTTTTTTTTTCATAATTTGTTCAGCACCAACCGTTCCCGATGCAAGCGTGTGACAGCCACTCGTGGAGATCAGTGACCTTTGACAGGCCAGAAGTTATCGTGGGCATTGGGGCCCAGACAAGGGCCCAGAGACAAGGCGGTTCGAGAAAAGACAGCCGCCTGGGACCGTCGGGCGGAGATTCTGACTGCCTGTCCTGCTGTTGTCCGTCTTGTAATACGGAGTCAGCGTAGGCATAGGCGTAGGCATATAATAAGCGTGTGCGTGCTGGCGTTGCTTACGTGTGTGTGTGTGTGTGTGTAGGAGGAAAACGAGGCATGGAACTTGCATGGCTCGTGAAATGTGGCGCAGGCCATCCATGTCAGCCCTGAGCAGAACCCTGGTACTCGAATTTGGTTGGATGCGGCCAGTTCGCACTAGTGGGCTCGGGTGGCTCAAGCCAGGTGTTGGACACGCCAATACTATTAAAACTTGGTCTTGATGTTTAACGAAAATTCTTCTCCCTATCTTCCAGATGTCGGCTTAGGCAATGTAGGTAGCTATGGAAAAGGCGGTTTCAATATATCAATTGATGCGAACATGAATGCTGCGAATTGGCCTCTGATGATGGGCGACTGCTACAGTGCGAGTGCCTGACTGGAATCAAACACCAGACGGAAGGTACTACTCACTGGAGGACTTGCCGTTTTAGCACCTCCAGCGAGCTCAGGGAGCACTTGAGCGCTTGAGCGGAGTGTGTGGCCCAGAGACGGTGGGACAATGGAGCAAATGCATTGGACCGTTAAGTACCAGTTGACAACATTGAGTCTGGTCTACAGGTACACCAGTAATAAACACAGGAGCTCATAACATTTCTCTCATCCCGGAAATCCCCATGAAGACTAACACTAGCCACAACCATCGGAGCATGTTATACCGACATGTCAAATAAAGGAATAGCCAACGCTCAAATCCACTATCCATGACAACCCATTGGATAAAAGTGGGCGGTGGTTGGGTAACAAGTTACAACAAGCAGGTGCACCTCAGCTCAAGCGCTCCTGCACCTGCATGCAATATTTGCCACCATCACCAGATCCGCACTTGAGTGCAAACAAGGCCCTCTCGTTCGCGAAGCAGTCTGGCCAACTGGTGCAAGACACCAATGGGGTGGAGACGTGCAAATTGTAACCTATGCTGCCCGGCAAGCGTGAAATCCCACAACACCCCGCGGTTAACCGGCGGTGCACCACCTGCCTCCAGGTCGTGATATGTGATATCCTCTATCAAACCATCCAACACACCGCACTGGAGACGTCGGTCAAATGTATTTGGCATGACGCCAACGTCAAATGAGGGGCGGGGCACAGAGACACTGGTTGCATTGCACCACTCATGGACTCGATCCTTCAAAATTACCCCGCCTTCTCACATGCTTTCAATGTGAGTGAGTGAGCGTGTGCGTGTACGTGTGTGTATGTGCGTGTGTGTTGCAGACATATATTGAGACAACAACTGCTTCAAGTCAATTCGTCGCCAATTATTTGCCCAACGGCAACTCGGCGTGCATTCGGTGCAGAGAGCTTACCAGCACTTGCTCTGTACAGCCGAAGAAAATCGGCACCCGCACGCAAGGAAATGCAACATCCTTCATCCTAAAACTTCGACCACGGCCATGGCTTCGACGATTGACTGCCAGTATCAATGACGTGACATGAGTACGAGTTCATATACTGTATACAATCCCAATCGTGGGGGGCTGGTTCAACCTGCATGTCGTCAAACTTGGCAGATATCACCGATTCGACAAGAGGCAGCAGTGGTTTGGTCAAAACGCACTTAAAAATAACCTCTAATATACTATTGTATGTACGTACTGAGGCATGCAAGATGCCAAACTAGTACCTAGGGTAGGAACGCACAAGGTTACTTCAAGCAACACTCAAGGTCGCATGGTCCTCTCGGATGCTCCCGACGTTGCGTTGTACTCACTCCTTTGATTGGAGCTGGGCCAAGTTCATACACTCAGTCAGTCGGTCGGTCGGTCAGTACTCGGTCCTTGCATCATCGCAAATGCAAGTCATATCGTCTCGCTGCCAATGTTCTGTACATGAGACCATGATACATGACACCGTGATATCGTGATACGGAGTAAACCCTACCGAGTATTATGGAGTCGTCTTCCATCTTATCAGAGCCGGGTTCTTGTGGAACCAGCCATTTCTCCCATGTCTTCACCAGCGACCAGTAAGACCTTCAAGCCGCACATCTGCTCAACCAAAACCGTCGACCCCGCCATCAAGCGTCAAGCTTCAAGCCTGGCCACTTCTAAAGTTGACTTGAGCGTCAAGCAGCTCGCATCTTCACGTTCTTCATTGCGACGTCCCCTCACCTCTCGCCACCATTCCTTCCTCCGCCGCCACAGATCTGTCACCTGGATCCGTTTCTGGGAGCAGCTGTTGCCCTCTTTTTTTTGGGCCAAACGACCTTACGTCATCCTTGGAGCATCGAGTTCGAGTCAAAGAGCTACTCCAACTGCCACACGGCCCATCTCTACCGCCGCCACAGCCGAAGCAGAGAAATTGCATCATCGTCTGCATCGCATCCTTGTGAAATCCAACTCTACCACAAGCGACCTTTTTCCTATTTTCCAGACGCGGGACAATCATTCGCATTTCCGTTCCCGCCACCATGCCCAAGACGCAGCCCAACCTCTATGCCTTTGGCAACATCGCCTCGCTCGCAACAGCCCTCCGCGGCTACGTTGTACAGAGTCAAAATGCGGGCTTCTCACGTCACGATTCGTTCAAAGTGGCCATCTCAGGAGGCTCCTTGCCCAAGACCCTTGCGCAGGCTCTTCTCGCCCCGTCGAGTGGCCCCGAAGATGTGATTGACTTTACCAAGTGGGAGATATTCTTTGCCGACGAGCGTGCTGTGCCTCTGGACCACGCCGACTCCAACTACGGCCTCTTGAAGTCTGAGCTCCTCGAAAAGATTCCTGCCGACCAGCAACCTACCGTTCATCCCATAGACACCACCTATCTCAACGATACCCAAGAACTTGCCGACCAGTACGAAAAGACTCTAGTCAGCAGCTTTGCAAGCCGCGACTCTGTTCGCCTCCCCATCTTCGACCTCGTCCTCCTAGGCTGCGGCCCCGATGGCCATACCTGCTCCCTATTCCCTGGCCACCCTCTCCTTCGCGAGACCGATGCCTGGGTCGCCCCCATCGAAGATTCTCCCAAGCCCCCTCCCAAGAGAATCACTCTCACTCTGCCCGTTGTCACCCACGCCGTTCGCGTAGCATTTGTCGCTACAGGCGGTGGAAAGAAGGATATCATGAAAGAAATCTTTGACTCCCTCGAGCCCACTCTGCCTTGCTCATTGGTCAACGAGGCCTCTGGCGACAGATGCAGCTGGTTTGTAGACGAGCCTGCTGTTGAGGGTGTTGGTTTCCCCAGAAAGGCGTTCCTGTAGTGGGGGATGGTTCAGAGGAGATCGCATATGAAGATGCTTGGCTGCGCGAATGGAGACTTGGGATACGTACGCTTATGAGCAAGACGATTTTGAAAAGAAAACACGAGAAAATGCGCACTACGCACTAAGCCTTATTGGTCATTCATACAGACGAGTGCGATGATATTACGCCGCCCTGACTATAGCAGTAGGATTTAGAATGTTGGCCCTCTCGCTCAATCTGCCCCTTTGGAGTCGTTTGATTCGAGTCATCTTTTGACAGGGCCTGGAGTGGACCGGGAGATGTGCGAAACGTCTCATCTGCTCCAGGTTACTTGTTTGCTGCATAGCTACGTTAGAGCAGTCTTTGATAAGTTATGAAAGAAAATTTCGTCTGTTTTTCCCCCATCAGTTCTCGCCTTCTATTGCCGATGACTCATTATTAGAAAGACATGGCAGAGTTATACAAATACCCTGTACCAACGGGGTCGCTTCGTCGTCAAAAAGTCTCATGTCAAATCACTCGCCATACAGCTCCAGCCCTCGGGGTATCAATGTCATCATCGCCCTCCCTATTCACCCTCTCAATCCACTCATCCTCCCTGGCTAGTGCCTGCTGCTCAATCTCCTCCATGGCATGCAACTCGGTCAGCATATCGTGCACGAGATTCCCTGCCCCAGCGAGCATCCTCCCCAAACTGGACGCCTCGGCCGTAGCTACGCCCTCCTGTGTCGGCAAATCATCAATCTCGGCGAGGCGGACCCTCCAAGTCTCCAAGCGTCTAGTCAGGCCGGCACATTCTTCTCTCCAAGTAGCATCCAGCTCTCCAATGAACAACGAGTCATGGCCGTGGACCAGCATCCTCCCAATATCGTGTCTCGCCTCCTCGGCGTCACACATGTGGTCGGCCCAGCGTTCAAACCGCTTCACCACCCTCGCGTACCGACCCGCAGGCTCACTGAGCGTCCACAGCCCGGTCAAGATCTCATCCAACGACTGGATCTTGTCTTCTATCCCGTACCTGCCGCCGCGTGCCCAGCGCCTCAAAGCGAGGATGTTGTCGCTTTCCGCGGCGAACCGCTCCCTCTCGGACACGCGTCCGCTTTCTCGGCCGAGCTCCTCGAAGCGCGCCCCGAGTTTCGCCTCGGCGCTGGCGTGCCACAGCGCCTGGACTGCCCCCGCGTCCCGGTGGAGGAGATGCAGCTGCAGAAGTTCGGCCTGTAGCCTGCTTGTTTCGGCCGACGCGGCGATATTGGCTGGCAGCTTCGACGGCGAGGGCGGGGCGATGATGGCCGAGGTCAGCGGCTTCGGGGCCTGCGACTTTGCCGGCGAGTAGTGCTGCTGCAGCGTTGAGAAGGCGGGCCGCAGCCGCGGCTGGGCTTGTGCCTTTGCTGCCGCGGCCGGCGGCGCGACGCTTGGCTTCGCGGGCGTAGATGGGCCCTTGTTATCCACGGACATGGATACATGTCGACCGTGGCCGCCTCTGGCTGCCGTCGTCTGGCTGCCGCCGATGCTGCTGCTGCCAACGCGGCCGCTCGACGGCGGCGGCAACGACGTGGCAGGTGTTAGGCTCGTCGCCGTGCTCTTGGCGCGAACATGCGTCGGTGGGCGCCGAGCAGGTTCTGCGCTCCCGCTGCCTGCGGACGTAGGTCGGGTCCTGGCCGCTGCTCTGTTCGCGCCGCTGGCCGGGGGGTAGCGAGACGTCTCCTTCTTGGCCGTTTCTTGCGCAGAGGCTCCATTTGCCCTTGTGGATAGCGAGTTTGAGCGTGCTAGTGAGGTCGGGGCGGGTCTGCTGCTTCGCGACGACGCGGCTGTGATGGTGTTTGTTGCGGATGAGCCTGGTAGGGTGGTGGTTGGAGGTCGTGCGAATGGCTTCAATGGTAGCCGGCTGGGGGAGCCGCTTCGTGTTGCATCTGTGGCGGTAGGTCTGACCGGCTTTTCTGCGGGAGGTGGTATCGTTGGTTTACGCAAGGAGCGAGTCCTTTGCAGAGAGGACATGGCCGCCGGTTTGTATTGATAATGGCAGCTTCATGTCAGGGGCAGCCGTATATGTCAAGTACCGATTGATAGTAGTAGTACTCGGTGATTAGCTCGAGTCTGGTCTGGTCTGGTGCTTTGTTAAGGTCTGGTTGTAGCGCTGGCTGCCCCAGTTATTATACGGCTGTCGGGACCCACTCAGTTCCCAAAGGATTGACAATTGTAAACATTAAATACATACATATGCCTAATGTAATATATTATGCAAGTCTCATTTGTTGAAGTTCCAGAACTTGTCCTTTACACACGACATTAACGAGTTTCACTAGGCTCTTGGCATACTCTTGACATGAATATTCGGTCAATTCTTTATGACGAACCAAACCCAGGGGTGAATCTTCGCCTACGAAGCCGCCCTTGAATTTTTGTTTAAAAAAAAGACAATCAGCGAACCCCCTTGGTGGTGACCTCCGATATTACTCCGTCCCCTATTTATATGATGCCAAGAAAAACCAACCAAGCCTTTTGATCCTCAAGGCTGTCCAAAATGCAGGTATCTCCAACGTAAAAGTCAAACGTAATTTGTTGCAGAAGATCTTCGTCTCTAAAATCCAGCCATTGACAGCTTCCCATTCTACATACATGATGACATAACCGTAACGAGATCTTCGAGAGGTCGTGAGCTGGGCTGGACACTCCCGCCGTGAGCCAACCAGACTAATAGAAAAATGCGAATGCTTTACTAGTACAAAGAAAGGCGTGCAGAAAACAATGTTAAATTCGGGCAACCAGTACCCTCATTGCCGTGCGTTCCTATGCAGGGAGCTCGATGCCAAGGGCAGATCCAGGCGGCGACGCTGACGATAAGCTAACAGGCGTGTCTGCTCGAAGCTGGTCTACCAACCTTCTAAGCACCTTTTGATGCCCGTTCAGTCCCTGCAGACATGTCTCACAGATGCGCAGGTGACAGAAGGTGCATACCCAACGGTCCTCTGTATCAGCTTTGTCACACGTCTGACAAGTGAGCGGATAATTTCGGTTCGACCGGCGATTCATGGTTCGATGCTTCTGGAAACAGTTGTAATGTGTCTGGTTGAGGGGCCTCGAAGAAATTACCGCGCCCGGCTGCAGAGGCTTATCCGTTTGGATAGGGAAGTATGCTGCTCTGGGGTCTGGCTCTCGCACGACCTTCATTTCTGGGTAGAGAGTCCCATCACGTCCTCGGTACATCGGTCCGTGGGTATCTGAAGTGACAATCCTTGGGTCGAACAAGCCGGTGGCCGTCGCAGGCCTACTAGGTTCTTCGGCACTGGCGCCTACAACATTTTGACCAGATGACGTACGGCTGAATGCTGAATCCGACGAAATACTGATGCCACGGTTGCTGTCATTCATAGTCAGGGAATGCGTCTTGGCAGGGGGGCTGCTCCGTTTCATTTCTAGAAGATTTGTACTGAGGCGAAGGTCCGGTGCGGCTTGGGGCAGCCTGCTCGCAGATGTTGAAGCAATGGGAGGAACAGAAACAAGGCTCGGCGCGACTGGTTCCGATTTCGACAGTGCAGTCGGTTGTGGAGGTGGCGATTTGGATGCAGTAGACAAGGCTCCTTCCTTTGGCGATCCGGTTGCTGAGACGGGAGAGGCAGGCTTGGCGATAGTGTCAGCCTGAGAAGACGGAGGACTGGCATCTCCCTTTCGGTATTCCGGTGTGGGTGGCCGCTTGCTATCGCGGCGAACAGGCAAGTCCTTGCGATCCACCGGGGTACGGGATTTCTGGGCTTTTCCCACCTTGTCCTGCAGCTTCGAGCCGATGCTCCCCATCTGCGTTTCTGTTTCTTGACCCTTGTCCTGAGACACTGGCTTGACGTTATGACGGGGCAAGCCGAGGGCTGGAGGAGGCGGTATTGCGTCTTGTTTCGGCTCCTCTGTGGGCTTGGATTCAGAACCTATGTTGGCATAGGCCAGAAGCACAGCGGTTTCAATGGACTGAATTGTCGAGGTCGAGGCAGTCGAACCGTGGCTATGGCTTAGTTTTAGATCGGAGAGCTCTTTGTTCTTCTCGGCGGTCTGTGGTCGACGCTTCCAAATTTCAGGCCGAGGAACTGAGGATTTTTCAGATAGCGGTGCAACGGGCAGCAGTTTCGGAGAAGACGAACTGGGATGAGATGAATCGTCCTTTCGAGGCGGCGCAGGGCGGCTCTGGGCCTTGTGTTCCAAACCTTGCTCGCTTTTCACTGCAGGCACCTGTGCTTGTGAGTAAGTGTGGCTGCCAGCTGATGGTCCGTCTTTGCCCAGCGACGGGCTGAGGTGAGAGTCATGGAGGCTGTTGACTGTGCTTGCTGTCGTGTAAGTGCTACCAGACATGGGGGCATCGGGTTCTCGAGAATACGCGGACAATAGACTGGATAGTGAATCTGTGGGCGAGGACTCGGGAGGAACAATAAGAACAGGCTGTGCTTGTGGTTCCGGCGCTCTGGCAACTGCTTCTCTGGGCATCGCCATGGAGCCGCCCGTAGGCGGAATCGAGAGAGGCGGTGAATTGATGTTGGACGCGCCAGACGGTGGTGCAGCGGGTTTCGATGCCGATGAGCCAACAGGTTTTCTGGGTATGCTTTTGCCACCCTTGGTGTTGTCGTTTGCACGGGACGATTTCCGCGGGGGGAGAGGGAACTGAAATTCAGATACGTCTTTTGGAAGCGGGAGCGGTGGAAGGTCAGCGACACCTTGACTGTCGGCAACAGGGACGGACGGTAACGCTTTTGAATATCGCGATCGCCCACCTGTTCCCCCAACAGGTGGCGACTGGGCAGCCTCTTGTAGGCTCAGCATGTTTATACGTTTATCGAGTGCCTCGGGGGCGCGGCGATTTGGGCTTGGGCGTGTGGTGTCTACCCAGAAATGACTCTCCACCGGTCAGGCGTTGCGACGTTGCGACGAAACAACGGGAGTCGTAACGGCGCAAAGTACGCCAACGGCCCAATGCTCAGTCCTGTGCGATCAGCGGCAAGATTGAAACAAGGAGCCTCGAGCTTCTTGGTATATCGAG